CCCCCCCCCCCTTCTCTCTCCCCAAGATATGGTTCCATTCCATCAGTATCCTAAGCTTCATGGTATACTGGTACGTAAAATAAGACAACGAAACAAGTTTAGGCTCCAGTATTCGCTAGAATCAAATGAGTTGAACTACTACAAGGGCTCCATGATTTAGAGTTCACCATTGAACAAAGGTGATTAGAATATTGTGGATTTCAGAAAAATAAAATTTTTTTTTTTTAAAAAAAAATTTTAAAAATCTAAAATTTCATAGACTTGATAAGCAACTAGCATACCGTGGTTGCAAAAGTCAATGCCAGGAACAAGACCCTCCACCCAGATAGTCTCTTTTTGTTTTGATGTGGATGTCACTCCATTGACTTGAATATCAACCCCTTCAACCTGACATCCTAAATAGAGAAAGCACTACTATTAGTACGAATATGAACATTTTATATCATGAAATACCAAATCAAGCACCAAGTATCTAATGATTAAAGTATATTGGAAGATTTCTCATAAAGCATCAGCCAAGGATGACTTTACCTTTTTCATCCATTCCATTAACCAACTCTTCCATGCAAATATGAGTAGTAGAAACCTCAGAATTTTTGCCATCTGAAGCACTATCATTTTTGTTTTCTTGAATTTGGGGAAATACATAGGAATAGGGAAGGGGAATGTTTAAAGCACGGGTCCAAAACAAAGAATTTGCCCTAGCATGACAGCCAATTGTGAAGCATAAGGAACAAAGGTGTAGAGCACCATGAACAGACATAATTAAGAAGAGGATTCAATTAAAAAAATCATCAGATTATTCACGAAGATGGTACCTACCAAAGGAAATCTTCAAAGCACACATCTCTGAAAAAGAAGCAACAGGTATTGTATATGATCAGTAACTAATCACAGTAATATTGAAAATGCATATAACTATCGACAATGTCGTTCAACATGTAATTTTAGATAGCATCTATCAAGATTATATGACACACTATTCACTACTAAGTCAGATAAAAGCTTATTTGCAAAATAAGATGGACAGTCCACCATCAAATACCAGACTTCAAGAGTTTGGACCATTAAATTTAAAGAGAAGGGTCAGTTCATATAAAAGCAGCACGATCACACAGACACCTGATTACTCTATAATGAAACTACATAGGTCCACCAACCGGAGAGACTCCATGATAAATTGTGGTCCAAAGTCTGAGTATCCAACTTTATCAAAAAAAAGATTCTGAATAATGTTTTCACATAATTTCAGCATCAGCAGTTTATTTATTGATCCAAACATTAATTAGGACAAGTCACAAGACAGTACAATCACCACAAGAAAAGATTTACACAAACCTTTAACTTTATTCTAAGCATTTACCGAGAAGCTCAAAATGAGAATGATGCGAGAAGCTCAAAATGAGAATGATGCAGGATAATTAGAATATTAGTATTGGAATTTCTAATAAAATGAACAAAAGGTATAAAATTAATTATTACTAAACTAATCATTCATGTCATAGAGTACCTCTGTGCTTGCTGAAATAAATACTCACATGCCCTGAAAATCTAGTAAGAAACATATATTATGTAAATGACTCGATAGGACCTACTAATTTCATTCTCCTTTGATAATTATAAGGGGGAAAAAAATTCTATTTTCTGACACACCTTTCTAAATCCCCATCCAGAGTTAACAATTTCTCCACCAGAGTCTTCAGTTTACCATCATATAAAGACTGCAAGCTTTTCTTCTGTAAGATAAACCTGTCTTTGGTCACATATACTACACAAAGAAGATAAACTACTTAAACCATATTTGACAGAACTAAATAATTAGATACTTTGTAAAAACATAAAACAAACAAAGCTTTGGTATGCTGGGAAGCCTAATGAGCTTAGTGTGAAACCACATAGAAGTCATTTTCAGCATGAATATCAATCAAGTTCAATCTAAAAGCCCCCACAAATGGCAGTATCAACGTCACAAAAACTACAATTGTTACCAAAAAGCCCGATTTATCTATACCTTTCATCATCTTAGAAGACCATAATGAACCATCATTGCATGGAATTTTCCACATTATACAGCATGTAGATGCATACAATCTACATGTTAGTGTTTAAATGTCAAGGCCAGATGCCCAAATATCTTTTACCTGCAATTCAGTTGCTCTATACAATGTTGTCCCTTTTAGCTCCAAAAGCTCATCATCAGTAAACCATAGTGGATTGCCAAAAGTAGTCGGAAGCATATCAAGATACCTGATGTTATCCCAAGTGAAGCTCAGCCAACAAAGAAACGAGAAAATTTGTAATTGATCATTCAACAAAATGCATTCTATACATACGGCTTCCAAGAAGAATTCTTGCGGACACGCTCCACTGTTAGAAACAAAATCATCAAGAACCTATCATCTACATCTCCTTCCTCAAACATTGCTCTACATTCTGGTCCAAGAAGAGGATCTTGCAAAACTCTCATAGGAGTTATTGCTAAATCCAGAGGAACAACTAATAGAACCCCTGAAATTATTTCAAAAAATAAATCAAAATTATGCTCTAATCTTGGAGTGTTGCAACCGAGAAAGTCACGCATTTAAAAAAAGATAGAACATCTTAAACTAGTATGTGAAATTTTTGGGACCCTTTTCTTATAGTGTGGTTTTATTGGGACACATTTTACCCATGGATTCTTAACTAGGGTGGACGTGAGTGGGCTGGCCGAATTAGGAGATATGTCCATGCTTGCCCAAGGAACAAAGTTCCTGGGGGTTTCGCAAATGTTTTCCCAAGTAAGTTCTCGGGTTGCCCAAATCAAAGTATCTTAAGCAGATTGCACAAAAAAATCTTAAAGAAAAATCTTCAACAACTAATTTAAACAAACGTAACTTGGTGTATATAAGTTGAATCTGTAAATAATTTAGACAAAGAACCATATAAAACATGAAATGCTTACTGTTTAAAACGAACTCCTCATGTTGCTCAACTCAGATAGACTCTAACCCGTGTTTGCCCAACCTTTCATTCGGGTTAAGAACTTATGTCCATGTTTACTCAAATTATCAAACATATTTGATCAAATTGCCCAAATTTGAGTTGAAGTACTAGTTGATATGGTTCGTCCAACCCAAGACCCATAGAAATCGAATGCTTTGGTTTATTTTTCCATATGGTTTTTATCTGACATTCAAATTCGAAGTTTTCAGACAACGAAATAAGTAAAAGCATAGATAAACAAAAACCCAATAACTTATGAAAGAGCTGGGTTACCATCAGAAACTTCATTAGACGAAAAAATGCCAAACCCTTTGCTGGAATCAGAGTACTTGATCTTGCACCCACGTAACTCCGCTCCATTAACCTGAATTCGAAAACCCAAATGTTCAAAAACACAGTTGCAGTATTTGGTTAGTGATGAAAGCTTAGAGGAGAATGCAAACATATGGCCACCTGTAACCACTGGAGAAACCGCTCGAGCTTGGCCTCTTCTAGTGGGCTCGCCATTGCCGTGTGCGCCACTCTGAGAGTTGGCTTGGTTTTTGAGAAAGAGAGAGAGAGAGAGAGAGAGAGAGAGAGCAAGCAATGGGGTCTTACTAGCAGTATAGCAGCTTCAAGTGTTTCTATGTCGTTTCGTTGTATTTAGTGTCGTCGAAATGTTGGAGGCCACGTGCCGCGCCTGTGTTACTCTAAAATGAAGAAGACAAAAACAAAGGGAATGTATCATCCCTGTTTACTTGGACCCAAATTTCATGCAGTGAGAAGAAGCCGGTACTCTAACGCTGCCTATCATTTTTAGTTTGCTTTTATTTTATATGTTCTTACCCATTTCCAATTTCCTCAAAGTTGATCCAGAAAGTTCTCATGCATGATCTCATTTGGCGACAATCTTGTAATTTTTTTGCTCAAAATGTAGTTACTGATTTTATTTTTTTTATAAATGTTCTGAAGAAAAATGTGCAACCATTTTCGACATTGCATTGCATTCTGTGATTTACCCAGAAGAAAAGACATTGCCTTGCATTCTCTTAGTAGGCCATTGTGTTTTTTTGGGGTCATTAGAGACCGAATGCTGATGGGTGATCGTCAATTTGTGACTTTTGCCGATTTCTCTATCTGGGTTTCAGGGTATGTGTCTCTGGTACTGATTTTGCCATGTTCAGTATGTCCGTACATGGCGTTTTTTAGCTGAGCTTAATACTTAAAGAAATTCCGAGCTTGCTTTTTCTTTGGTGGACAAAATCTTAAACAGTAATTTTGTGTTCAAATTTCGTAGCTTCTGTAAATTACATATCATGTTGGTTCAGAAATAAAGTTGTTGCAGATGGTTGTTAGATTATATGACCAACATTTTAATACTCAAGCTCCATGTCCTTTTGATACTTGAACCTTACTTGGGGTCGTAATAAATTCGTCTTGCTTTTCTTAATTTGAAAACATTTTTTAGATTATTTATTTTATAAGAAAATTTTCAGGCACACCTGACCCTGGATATAACATCCAAGAGATGAAGAGTCCAAGTTCACAGCTACATAGTGCTGCAATATTTCCATCTCCAGCTTTTTTATGGAGGTTCAAGGTTGGCTTCTTTTATTTTTTTAATTATGTCAGTTGCAAGCTTATAGCATTGATCTTCATCTTTATTATTGAACTTTTAGCACATTAACCTTTCAGGTACTACTTTTCATGATATGGGGATTCAGTTGTTGCAAGGTCAGTGTTAATCCTTATCCTTCTGTTCTCAATATACTTTTAGGAGGTTATGGATACTTTTAAGGCATTGTTTGGCGAGAATTTTTATCATTTCGTAACTATGCTTATGCTTGAATTCTTCTTTTCGAACAGATTGGATGGGATTCTGTCATGAGGATGAGTGCAGATTTGCGTAATTTGTTCTTATATGAGGTGTTTTTGTATTATAACCCTCTCCTCGTAGTGGTGAGCTTTAGTATTTTTTAAACTTCTTTTTTATTAATTCCAGATAAAGATTTTTATAGCAGCTTATCTGTAGTTCTTTTCTTTTTGGTTGCAGACCTTGATGGTTTGGCTCTGGGGAGTTAACTTGTGGATTTTTTCACAGTCCAATGTTGGTTATGCAAAAATATTTGATCTTGATCAAAATCACCTCACTCACAAAGAGATATGGCAGGTACTGTGGTCTCTTTATCTTTTGTGGCTGTAATTAAACATTAAATTTTATGCCGAGGTTAAATATTTGAATGGCCTTTTTTGATCCTCTATATGCAAGAAACAAAATTTGCAACCACCACCTATCCAGCTTTTTCGTGGCAATCTTAATCCATTTCTCTAAAGATTTATGCATTAGTTCCAAAATGGTGCCTTTAATATGGAAATATAGTGCACAGTAAGTTTTACGACAAAAAGTCATAGGTTAAGGTAAGTTTTTCAGGAATTAGGTTCTATAATTTTAGGCCGGGGTGGAATTGTTCATTCTTGATTTACACATGGACAATTTGTATATGCATGCACATGTGTTCCAATGTACGGGCTTGTGCATGTTACTTGTATGCATGTATATGTAATTTGTGCATCACCAAGGCAGATCCTTGCTACACCATGTGATTTGTGCACACTTGTGCAAAACATCAAGGCCTGCTGAGTTGCTCCTTCAAAGTCTCTACTGGTCTAAACCCTTATATTAGGCCTCTTCTCTTTACACCACTCGATTATGAGATACATAAAATATTATTCCATTACTGCAAATCAAGATTAGTTACTCAATGTCTAAGTGACCACATGTAAGTGACCTTCTTTTTTCCCTGTGACGCGTAAGCGATTACCTTCTCAAAGCAATCTGTCCCTTCTTCCATTCATGAACTGCATCATTTAATACTTGTTTCCATTTCTTATTATTATGTCAAATAAGTTACTCTATACTTGTATGTTTATCCCAATTGACCTTACCAGTATCAATGCATGTTTCTTTTTCTTCCTTTACCTTCCTGGTGCTGAGCTTCTAATTGTTCGCTTTTGTTATATGCAGTGTAGCACTTGGATGACAATCATTGTCCCTACTAGCATGACCGCACACCTTTATTTTTACTCCAATGGAAATGTATCATTGGCAGCATTACAACCAGTGTATTATCCGCCTTGTCTCTTAAACTTGCTTCTAGATTTGGTTTCCTTGAATTTTGATTGCATGATTACGACAGTAGTTTTCATTGTTTTTTTTTTTACCTTGCTCTAATATTTTGATGTGTATGAGATATTGATCACTCTCATGGTTTTTTTATTTGGGATATTGTCTGCTATTTTGTCTTAGGAATCTGTGTGATACAGCAAATTCTCTGCATCATGCTGTACAATTTACAAATATATGTTCTTTTGTATGTATTTTATGTGCCCCTGTTTTATGGTATTAGAATCATGCCTCACTAGCCTAGACATTCTATTTTCCACAACAGATAAATGTTTCTAAGTGGTCTATGTACTTGTTGCAGGTATCCCTGTATATTGCTGTTGCTATGGTTCTGATATCCCCCTTTGATATTTTTTATTTGTCATCTCGTTACTTCTTGTTAAGGACACTACGGAGGATAGCTCTTCCATTGCAGGCAAGTGTTTGTCGTGCAGCTTGTATCTGTGGTACTTGACAAAGGCACATTTTACACACACAAATTTGTCTTTGGGCAAATTTTATAATCTGGACTGTTGTGCTTGCCTGTCTTCACTCAGGACTCGATAGTGCTCAACGTTTGACAAGATTGCATAAGTTAAAATTTGAGGTTCCTTCAAATTGACAAGTTTTATTTTTCTTTTTGGGTGCATAAGTACAATAAGTATTTGATCTCTTAATTGTGCTTATAATCCACCAAGGAAAACTTATTATAGAGAATCAGAGGGGGCCTTTTGGTGGATGAAATTCATAGTGCTAATATTTTTGTCACTTAAATGAACTTGATCTATACAAAATGCAGGCAATATCATTTCCTGACTTTTTTTTGGCTGATATCCTTACTTCTATGGCAAAGGTATGAATCTATACCTCTTGTAGTAATTGTCTTAAAACCATCACATGTTTCTCTTTGATCAATCACTCTGTCAATTTAATATTAAACATATTGTGTTTGATTTAAGTTGCTACTTTCCAATCTCTCATCTTACCTTCAGAGTTTTACTATTGAAATAATTTGGTTCTTAAAAGATTAATTGCATTTATCCTTCCTTTTTCTTGTGATTGTTAATTATTAATTGTATACAGGTGTTTTCTGATTTGGAACGTTCGGTTTGTAGAATGGTTCGTAGGCAGGTATTGTTCTAGCATTGAATTCATTCCTTATGCATGTCAATTGTCAAAATCCAACTAACCTTGGTTTTTTTGGGAGGATTATTCTTCCATTCCTCTTTTAATATCTAGAGTTCTGATTCGTGTTTCTGCATCGTTTATTAATGGACTTGTCCATCTGCAAGTCCAATTCTCTCTTGTATCCTTTCACCATAAGTCTTTGCTAAATTTACTAGAAGTTGGTATTTCTTTGATTTTAGCCTTTGGCCTGTATGTGTGAATTTTCTCCCGATCTAGCAGATATAATTAAGATGAGATTTCTTTTATTATGCAGGTTGCCACTATCGCATGGCTTGAAGCTGATTCAGTTTGTGGCAGCCACTCAATTGCAATCCCCCTAGTGCTTGTTTTTCCTTATCTTTGCCGTTTATTTCAATGTCTTCGTCAATTCAAGGATACAAAAGAAAAGACAACCCTTTTCAATGGTAATAGCTCTTGGTAGTTTGAGTGCTTGTTATCTATAGTTGTGATTCTAGTGAATTGTTAAATGCTCTGGCTTCCCTTTTTTTTTCAGATAAATTGCAACCAAGCTTGAAATATAGTTACCTCAGCTCTACTTTCCTTTTCTGCTAACACTGTCATATCTTTTTAACACCATACAACTCTGCTTTTCAGCTTTAAAATATTCGACTGCGGTCCCAGTGATTTTTCTTTCGGCCCTTAAATATCATGTCTTCCCTGATAGGTGGACAAACTTCTACTCCCCACTTTGGCTTCTGTCAAGTGTTGTTAACTCCCTCTATTCCTTCTACTGGGATATAGCTCGAGATTGGGACTTGAGGTATGTTTATTTTCTCAACCATTTTGAAGCCTTTATATTATCTTCTCAGTTCAATCTCAACTGTACCCCTTGCTTGACAGTGGTTTCTCTCGGATTTTCAAGTTCAGCAGATCGAGTATGCTTTCAAACATGTTCTATGGACGAAAATGGGTAAGGGGTTAGTGAGTTAGACACCGTTACGTGCCGGTGGACAGAGCTTTTACTGGAGATGTTATCTCCCTTTCATAATGCAGGTA